GCCAAAAACTATATAGATGTAGAATTGTGAATAAGTAAGAAAAACTGTATACCACAGTGAAAATCAAAGCACAAGCATTATGACTTGCCTCTTCTTTGACTGCCACATGCTGCTGTAACTCAGGCTTCGGTAGAACCGCATCCTCAGTTTGTTGCTTTGTATTAGTCTTCTCCTTCTTCACTTTGGGAACCCGTGCAGCTCTGGGCTTCCTCACTGCTTTAGGTTTTGGCTCTTTAAGTTTGGCCACCCTCTTGGTCACTTTTTTCTTTTCGCCGGTTTCATCTGTCCCCCTCTGACGCCTTCCTTTAGTTTTGCCTTCATTTGAATTTGGTAACCATTCTTCTAACTCCTCACTGTCACCTTTTTGTTGGCCTGTCCTGTAACAAGAAACCAGTATTATTTCATCCAGCATTCATGAAGAATAAGAAATCAAAGCTACTATTGTGGACTTTTTTACGCAATAAAAATTGTTAATTGTATTACAACGTCGACTGCTTAGAAACGTTCTGTGCTTAAAGAGCAGTTTGACACACCAGTTATAATTCATGAGGATGTTCAACACTGTTAATCTTCGGCAGAAACAGCCTAGAGTCCGTTTTACTATACACAATGTTGTATCTTAGCCTTGGAGGATAATCTGAAATAATAAAAAAAAACTGTGTTGGCCTGAGCAAACAAAGCAAAACAACTCACATGTCATCAGATTCATCATCTGTCGCTGGTTCTGTATACACCTTTGCTGTTCTTGTTCTTCGAAGCATCTTTGTGTGGGAAAAACAACGAATGAAAACAAACTAAATGAAATAAACAAGTAACTTAAGGATGCCTGGGATAATAAAAAGAAACTTGGAAGTGAATATCTTTTCAACTCATTATTTTATCTTATTATCAGTATATCTAAGCTATACAAAAGGCGCTAGTACGTGAGCATAAACAGAATAAGCTTCTCATAACGACTTTCAGACAAACTGAAATGAAAACCTGTCCGTCAGCTGTCACGTTAAATATATGAAAAGTATTCATGGCAATGGAAAAGCATGTTTAACTCTATTGTGGTGAATGTTAAATCAAATGTCATCAATCAAAACTGTAGAATCAGAAAGTCATTTTGAATTTAGCGCGCGACCACGAACGTGTAATTTGCTGTCTGAGCTGTTGCTTCTGCAAATGATCAGTGATTAAACCAGAGATGTTCACCTACATTAGCTGATTATTTACAAAACTGTTCAAACTTACAGTGTTCCTCTGACAGGCATTAAACCATAACCCGTTTCCTTAGCGACGTCAGCAGCAGGAAGTGATGTAACTAAAGTCCTCAAAATCTTAAAATATATAATAAAAGTTCAGCTTGATGTTTTTTCGCAAATGTTTCCGCAGAAACGGGAGCTGTCCATGCCCAGTCCATGTTCTTTGCTCTTTATCCACTTCCGTGATTTGCACGGTTTGTTTTTCAATTATTGCCAAAGTTGTGTAGAGTAAATAGTTAAGAGTGCTCCGTGCTCTTTAAAATTAGGCGAAGAAAAAATCAGTCTGCAGGAAGACTGCAACAATCTGGTCAGAAACCTAAGGATTTAAACGTGCATGCAAGGCAAGTCACATGTGTTGTATTTGACTTTTTTTTTGCATAAAACAAAGAGCAACAATATCGGGAAATGTCAGGGCTTAAATGTAGTTGGTTGTAAAAGAGAAGAACTTTTACAATGTGACACTATGAAGATATACTTTAAATTTGCAGTGTTTAAAAAAAAGATATAGGCAATACAAGCTATGATTAGGACTAAAACTATTTAGATTAATTTATGCAATTTATCAAGAGTTCATGCCATTACATAACATTTCATCTTCCATCAACAACAGTTGTAAGCAAAAGCATCAACCATAATACATAGATCGCAATGTCTTGAATATAGCCATATCTTGAATATAGCACAGTTTCTGTGTGCCTGTCCTTTCTTAAGATCCCAGTGGCAATGGACTTGGACTAAAATGGCACTTCTTTCTCTCTGCATCAGTACCATTTCTTTTGCATCTGTCCTCTGGCATCCATCATTTTTTGTTCCAAATATTGATGTGTTGTCATCTATAGTTTATGAATTTTTCTGAATTTCATTTGTGTATTTCTCCAGACTCTATTGACCTCAGCCGACCTTCAGATATAGGACTCAATCACACTATAAACATGTGGGAGTTTGGTTAGTTTTAAGACATTTACAGTACACATCACACATATACACACAAAAACATAAAACAAGACAATAACAATTAATCATGTTTCGATATATTCTTTTATTAATGTTTTGAGGCACACTGTACCTGAACATAGATGGAAGGAGGCGCAGGGGAAGGATCTAGACTGGTATGAGAAAGCTCTGGGGGACGGATCGCCCATTTTCATCTACCTCCATGGCAATAACAGGCAGGAAACCTTTTAATTACCTTAAAACTTTTTTAAAAAGAATAAAAATAATCATTTTTATTCTAGGACTTTCACTAAAGATTACATTTGTATTCCTTGATCTGCCTTTGATTATGTGATCTAGTACCAGTGTGTGGCATTGTAAATATTGTACAACTGTCTATACTTCACAGCCTCATTTTCATAATTTAAATTCAATAATGTGTCTAACCTGACTAAGGTCTTTAGACACTATGCAATATCTGCATAATCTCTTTGCACAGAGATCAGTGATCTGACTTGAACTTCACACTGCTTTGCACTTTACCTTAGTAAAAACTGGGATGAGCAACTGCAGCATATTACTTAATGTCCACATTCAATTCTTTTGCATCCTGACTATATAAACAAAATATCACAGTCCAGGGAAACCAAATGTAACAAACAAACACAACCACATTATTATGAATTTGTTTACCTTAAAAAAGATTTCCATATATTGGAAATTCCATATACTAAATAAATAATCAATTATGCATTATATTGAAAGTACGTGCTTTGTTTTTTTCTTGATGATCGCATGACTACTACTTTTTGTACCTTCAATAAACAGATCTGCACCCCATCGTATTGGAATTGCAAATGTGAGCAAACTCACTTATTTCATTATGAAGACAGACTAAGAACTTGAATAGTGGTAATGACTGAAGTGTCTTGGCCATACAGGTCTTGAGTGCTGTTGGATATCACGTTTTGGTGCTGGACTACAGAGGTGGGTTAAAATATTGTGACTTCACTGTAACCAATAATCATTGGAATTCATTTTGAACTTGATCTTCAGTATATGATTTCTCTATTGCTTACTGTCAGGTTTTGGGGACTCCACTGGTGAGCCTACAGAGGCCAGTCTGACTACTGATGCTGTGTACAGCCTGGTGTGTGTGTGGGGTCACTCGCTTGGTAGTGGGTGTGTAAAATCACCTTTTTTATTGACTTTCGCTATGTTTACTACAAATGTTTTAGAAATAAAAAAAACATATATAATGTATTTTCTACAGTTTGTACAGCATGTTTCTTTTTTCAATAGTGTTACAACTGACACTGCAGTCAAATTACTGGAGCAAGGTAAAAATTCAACAGATTTAAAAACAAGCATGCTTTTGTTTGTCTCAGTGGCTCTTCGTTGTTCTGTCACTCTTTATGTTTGGTTTTAGGAGTTGTCATTGTAGGGCATAGTAACTTCACCTATTTTAATGTTTTAAAATCAATTGCTTGACTGTGCTTTTCTTTATTATGTATTTTTTTCTTGTTCAAAAAAACTATTTCTTGACAGGAGAACAGTTTGATGGAATAATACTTGAGAGAGTGCATTCGTAACTGGATGGGTAGCAAGCGATCAACCTATTGAACACCCTTTTATTTGGGTAAGGAATGCTCAGGATCTTTAAAATTATGACACCGTTTTTTTCTCCAGTTTTATTGGAAGTTCCCCCCCTTTGTTTTGGTTCATAGTTTGCAGAAACTTAGAACTCCCCTCATGATTCTCCATGCTGTAGATGACCATTTAGTGCCATTTGCCTCAGCTAAAGAGGTTTGTGTATATGAAACTTGATTTACCTCATAAAAAATAAAATAATTGGGAAATACATTCTAACTTTAAGTGGATGCTGCACACTGGTGGTGGTCGAGGAGAGACCCCCCACACATGATTGTAAAGTGCTTTGGGTGTACAGCAATACACAATAAAGCGCTATATAAAATGCCGCATTCGTTAAATTACAATTTTTCTGGCTCAAATCTACAGAATTGCAAAAAAGACCGAGAACTCGGATAAGTGGGTCAAACTGGTCCCATTTGATGGATCGCTTGGATACTTTCATAATGGGCTGTATAAAGACCCTAATGTTTTGAGGCACACTGTACCTGAACATAGATGGAAGGAGGCGCAGGGGAAGGATCTAGACTGGTATGAGAAAGCTCTGGGGGACGGATCGCCCATTTTCATCTACCTCCATGGCAATAACAGGCAGGAAACCTTTTAATTACCTTAAAACTTTTTTAAAAAGAATAAAAATAATCATTTTTATTCTAGGACTTTCACTAAAGATTACATTTGTATTCCTTGATCTGCCTTTGATTATGTGATCTAGTACCAGTGTGTGGCATTGTAAATATTGTACAACTGTCTATACTTCACAGCCTCATTTTCATAATTTAAATTCAATAATGTGTCTAACCTGACTAAGGTCTTTAGACACTATGCAATATCTGCATAATCTCTTTGCACAGAGATCAGTGATCTGAACTTCACACTGCTTTGCACTTTACCTTAGTAAAAACTGGGATGAGCAACTGCAGCATATTACTTAATGTCCACATTCAATTCTTTTGCATCCTGACTATATAAACAAAATATCACAGTCCAGGGAAACCAAATGTAACAAACAAACACAACCACATTATTATGAATTTGTTTACCTTAAAAAAGATTTCCATATATTGGAAATTCCATATACTAAATAAATAATCAATTATGCATTATATTGAAAGTACGTGCTTTGTTTTTTTCTTGATGATCGCATGACTACTACTTTTTGTACCTTCAATAAACAGATCTGCACCCCATCGTATTGGAATTGCAAATGTGAGCAAACTCACTTATTTCATTATGAAGACAGACTAAGAACTTGAATAGTGGTAATGACTGAAGTGTCTTGGCCATACAGGTCTTGAGTGCTGTTGGATATCACGTTTTGGTGCTGGACTACAGAGGTGGGTTAAAATATTGTGACTTCACTGTAACCAATAATCATTGGAATTCATTTTGAACTTGATCTTCAGTATATGATTTCTCTATTGCTTACTGTCAGGTTTTGGGGACTCCACTGGTGAGCCTACAGAGGCCAGTCTGACTACTGATGCTGTGTACAGCCTGGTGTGTGTGTGGGGTCACTCGCTTGGTAGTGGGTGTGTAAAATCACCTTTTTTATTGACTTTCGCTATGTTTACTACAAATGTTTTAGAAATAAAAAAAACATATATAATGTATTTTCTACAGTTTGTACAGCATGTTTCTTTTTTCAATAGTGTTACAACTGACACTGCAGTCAAATTACTGGAGCAAGGTAAAAATTCAACAGATTTAAAAACAAGCATGCTTTTGTTTGTCTCAGTGGCTCTTCGTTGTTCTGTCACTCTTTATGTTTGGTTTTAGGAGTTGTCATTGTAGGGCATAGTAACTTCACCTATTTTAATGTTTTAAAATCAATTGCTTGACTGTGCTTTTCTTTATTATGTATTTTTTTCTTGTTCAAAAAAACTATTTCTTGACAGGAGAACAGTTTGATGGAATAATACTTGAGAGAGTGCATTCGTAACTGGATGGGTAGCAAGCGATCAACCTATTGAACACCCTTTTATTTGGGTAAGGAATGCTCAGGATCTTTAAAATTATGACACCGTTTTTTTCTCCAGTTTTATTGGAAGTTCCCCCCCTTTGTTTTGGTTCATAGTTTGCAGAAACTTAGAACTCCCCTCATGATTCTCCATGCTGTAGATGACCATTTAGTGCCATTTGCCTCAGCTAAAGAGGTTTGTGTATATGAAACTTGATTTACCTCATAAAAAATAAAATAATTGGGAAATACATTCTAACTTTAAGTGGATGCTGCACACTGGTGGTGGTCGAGGAGAGACCCCCCACACATGATTGTAAAGTGCTTTGGGTGTACAGCAATACACAATAAAGCGCTATATAAAATGCCGCATTCGTTAAATTACAATTTTTCTGGCTCAAATCTACAGAATTGCAAAAAAGACCGAGAACTCGGATAAGTGGGTCAAACTGGTCCCATTTGATGGATCGCTTGGATACTTTCATAATGGGCTGTATAAAGACCCTGGTTTGCCAATTATCATAAGGTGATTTCACTCTCTGAAAATGTTTTGTGCATCTAAATATTACTCATTTTAAGATTAAAATAATCCATAAGAGATATAAAAACAGCTTTAGAGAAAAAAACAACTTTTGAGGAGTAGGCTATTCTTGCTAATGTTGAATAGTACCAGAATAAAAGCATATTTTCTTTTGTGCAGTCACTGATGACATGAGAGACACACACAGGAGGAGGAGGATTTACAGCAACTAATAGCCAGCTAAATAGCTGTTTCATATAATTGGTGTTGTAACTGTAAATTTGTATCTGTTTTAAACAGTATGCACTTCTAGAATAAAAACATTGTAATGTCTGATGTTTTCTCCCAGAATTCCACCAATTGTTGTTAATATTTGTAAAATGTATTTCTTTCGAGACATCAGTGAAAAAAATTAGGTATTGGCCAAAATGCTACACTAGCTCTCCCAAATCAAAACAAAGACAGTTTCCCAAACAGGAGTTGACAAACCCCTGGGGGTTCATGAAGGAACTGCAGGGGGTTAGAGAGTTGATTAAAAGCATTTAAACTTGAATGTAAATTATAAAATTACAATAAATACATATTTTTTACAATAAACAATCTAAATAAAGCATATTTCAAATATTTATTTTTATTCATCTGTATGCCATGTTACCATTAACCAACAACAGAGAACCATGAACATGCAAATGTGTTGATAAATTATTTTAATATCATCTTAAAATATAGGCAAAAAATTAAATACAAATAAATAACTTTGGGGATCACCGTTATATGCTGAGGCGTTTTCCCAAGTCTTTAGCTATTCTAAAGGACAAACAACACACAAAAAAACTGCCTTGCCTGAAACCCGAATAATAATATGACAGCTCTCTGAGGTTTCACAACTCTTGTATGTTAACTTAAGCTATTTTAAAAGTCTTATTTTAGCAGTTTGAATAACAATGGTCTTTAATGAATTGACGTTTAATTAATTAACGCTTTTTATAGTTTTAAACTAACAGTGACAAGTCTGCTGATTAGGCGTAACCTTTTGCTTCATTTGAAGTTTCTATCAATGAACACTCAAGTAGTGTGGTTTTACATCCTGCTAAAAAGCCGGCCTTTCCACCGCTTCTGTTTGCGCTTAGATGACGTGGCCATGGGTGCCGAAGCGGAGGGTTTCCTTCCTCAACGTTGACTCATCGCTCTGTCCAGCGATAGGCTCACGTTACCCACGTGACCTCTTCTCACCAATCAACGGAAAACGCGCTGATAGCTCGCTGAACAGTTTTACGACAAACTCGTATGTGTGCATCTTAAGACAACCACTGTCATAGAACCAGGAAGAAGGAAGGTGGGATAGCCCCCCAAAAAGATTCCATTTCAAATCAGTCGTAGAATTTTCCCTAGAAAATCATGGGGCTCGGCAGGTGGACGATTGAAGTGGTTGTTCTGACGACTGTTTTGAGTTCATTGCTGCCAGTTCGAGCAGATGAACACGACCACAAGGTAAGATAAACTCGGGCCGAGAAGCCCTCTGTGCTCGGTGTGTATAGTCTTGAGAGACGTTAGATATTAGGCTGGTTGCTCTGACAAAATGTCTAACAGCAAAGGACAGAAATAAATCCAAAACAGTGGACTCGGTGTCTGATTCATTGTCCCGTGTCTGTGTTAGAAATGCTAAGCACATCAGAAGCTACGTGGCTAGCTTAGCATCAGCTATCCCATTACATTATGTTGAGCAAATAGCAGGGCAGTGCTCGCAATCATCGGCTTCGTCTCCTCCTATGATGTATAAGTATAATGTTATTCCAGGCATAACCTCTCAATGTATTTCGTGTACTGTGTGTTTCTTTTGTTTATGTGAGGTTACTCTGAAGGGTCGGCTAACCGTCGTTAGCTAAAATATGTCCGTCTGGACACACATATCCGGTTCGTCCAGGCTTTTTTATGACTGACAAACTGTAAAAGATGGTTACATTTATAGTAAAAAGCCGCTAGAATGTTGCCTTAGAAATACAGTGTACGGGATGACAGTTTTATCTCGATGACATTTCGGTGACTGTATATTTTACAGTTCCTAGGTCTATGGTATTTAATCATAATATGTCAATATACCAACCTAAGCTAATCAAATTTGTTTCTTGCTGTACAATGGTACAATTGAAGGCCGCATAATTTCTGTGATCAGTAATTACACAATGACAGAGCCCTGGGTAACACGTATAACAATATCATAAAACATAAAAAAAAAAAAACTCAGAGTACAGTTACATGAGCTGTATTTTAAAATTAAGATTTTTTTTTTATAAGGCAGCTAACAATTAAGCAATTAACAAGTTTTTGTTGTAGCTTTTTTTTACACTCTGTAAAAAGTAAAAGATATAAATGCAATGTACAGTTTTATAGCCCTGATGATAACAATGTTTGCTTTGGATTTGAGACAACTTTAAAGTCGGCATGATTTCAACATTCAAATTAATCTAAATGCATATTTAGATCTTATGTTATTGTGAACAATTCATCTGAGCATCTTTTTTTTTTTCTGACCATGTAATTTTTAATCAAAATGTCATAACTGTAGCGCACATTCATCTATCTCCATTTTTGAGTTTAACGTGCACATCTCAAAATTCAATCAACAATGGATACAGAGAACCAAGACCCCACTCTACACTTTTTTTCGATAACCCGCCCCCAGATTTTTTTGATAATCTGTTATACTCGGATGTAATACAATACAGAAAATATCTGTTTATACTTCTGTTTCATTGTGACTTTAAGTGCCCTAGTGTGTCCAAATATAATTTGTGTCAGGACCTACAGCATTTTGGGGGTGCATTTGAATGTCACTCTCCTGTCCTGAAGTTCCTTAATTCATCAGCATTTCGGATGTTGGCAGGTATATTCTCACTATTGAATAGAATTTGAACAACTGTGGTATGACGCATGATCAGACTAGTTGATTATGGGTATTTACTTAGATTGAATCTTATTGCAGCCCCTTTTACAGCTTTCATATTATTACTGGAAGTATTCAGAACACACATAATCTGTAATGATGAATTACATAAAAGTCCTCATATGCTGTCTCAAGAGATCTGGGGATTTCTGATACTTAATGGGCTCCTTTTTGTTCAAACTGGTGCCAATGAGAATACCTCTGAATGTGGGAGACGGTGTTTAAGGTTTCATTAATACAACCATGCAGTTGTCTTGTTTTCCTCTTATTCTCATGTTCATTTTATTTAGACCAGTGCATACAGTGTCGCGATTGCTGCTGTATTGCCCTTTAGATTCAAAAAGGATTGTGTAACACTACCTGATTTTCAGGTTCACACCCTATCTTTGCTGTGATTCTTTAGACTTGTAATTCAAAGAATTAAAGGACTCATTCACCCCAAAAAATGAAATCTTTATTCTGCATCAAGATTGTCTACATCCCTAGATCAGTTACATTAATATCTAGTGGGTGACCTATTATGTCTAATGTCTTGTTTTTTGCCCAAGTAAAGGGTCTTTCATTATGAATAAGAAGAATCCTTGTTAAACATACAATAGGATACCAATAACCACTGAAATTTGACAAAAGCATTGCTTCCAAACATCTCTGTCATAGGTTCCGTGCACTTTAGTCTGTAAATTCTAAAAACTGGTTTGGCAGCAGCTTTTGAATATGTATATCAGTGAGCAGTCTATAAATCTTCCCTTGTCAGTAATGATAACTTAACACCGTTTACTCTGTTCACGTGTTGGTTCAAAATTTTAGGCACACTTTTTTGTGCTGTTGATGTAGTACATCATATTGGTCATTAGACAAAATTGTGTGCAGTAAGCCTATATTTTATATAAATAACTGGAAAATATTTTGTATTTGAAAGCTTGATGTTAATTATGGAGTTTTCTCCACTGGAAATATCTGGTATTGTATTGCAGGAATTGCAGTATCTTTGGTTTTGAGACTTTAGTCTTTGCAACTTCAGGGATCTTATCTATGCACAATCAGCTTGTAACACTCCAAAGAGAAAGGAAAACTTGAAATCGCATCATATGACCCCTTTAAGAACAACATGCAGGCTAGTTTCTGTTTATTTTAAAACTTTTCAAATGGTCTTTCAAATGGTGAAATCCTGGAGTTGAATTAACATCACAAAGAAGTAGATGCTGATATTTGAAACAGGTAGCTGATGACTGCTCTTTTTCTTTTGCAGTACACAGATAAAGAGGAGGTGGTTCTATGGATGAATACAGTGGGCCCTTATCACAACCGACAGGAGACCTATAAGTACTTCTCCCTACCGTTCTGTGTGGGCATCAAGAAAACTATTAGTCACTATCATGAGACGTTAGGAGAGGCACTGCAGGGGGTTGAATTGGAGTTCAGTGGTCTGGACATTAAGTTCAAAGGTATAGTCGTACGGTAATATGTCTAGTGTGTTAACCTATTCAAATGAAGCTTATCAAAGGCACGAGTATTAAACTGTCATACTATGTGATTTAAATTAGTAGAATGCAATGTGGATTTGTCTTTTACAGAGGAAGTGATGCAGACAACATACTGTGACATTGAACTTGACAAGCCTAAAAGAGATGCGTTTGTCTATGCCATCAAGAACCACTACTGGTACCAAATGTACATAGATGACCTTCCCATCTGGGGTGAGTAACCAGGATGCCAAGGTGGCAAGTCTGTTCTAGGGCTGTGCAAAAAATCGAATGCGATTTTCATGCGCATCTCGACAGTAAAGCCGCTTCTGGTGATTAGTAGTAAATCTCCAGCACTTGCTTTCAGATGAAGCGGCATTTACTACACAGAGCCATAGTTCATTGACAAACTACACAAAATCGCAGCAATGAATCGCCTGCGATTTTGAATGCAATTTTGTGTAGCTTGTCAGTGATCTACGGCTCTGTGTAGTAAATGCCGCTCCATCTGATAGCACAT